GCATAACAAAGTTTATAAAGACAATGTTCTACATTCTACCTTGGTGAGTAGTGTCTGGGGTCTTAAAAGCCTGAGAGCAGCCATCTAAGATACTCCACTGGTCTCACCCCTTTGGGAGCAAGGGAGAATGAAGAGAACAAGATACAAGGAAAAGATTAGTCCAAAGGACTAATGGACCACGGCTACACAGCCTTCACTGGACTGAGTCCAGTACAGCTAGACGGTGCCTGGCTACCACCACTGACTGCTCTGACCGGGATCACAGTAGAGGGTCCTGAACAGAGCTGGAAAACAATGTAGAAACTAACCCACAAAAAAAGACCAGATTTACAGGCCCGACAGACTGGAGAAATCCTGAGAGTATGGCCCCCAGACACCCTTTTAGCTCAGTGGTGAAGTCACTCCCGAGGTTCACCGTTCAGCCAGGGATTGGACAACCTCATAAAACAAAATGGGAATAATGAGGCACAGCAGTCCAGGGACAAGGACTAGGAGGCAGGAGGGGACAGGAAAGCTGGTGATAGGGAACCCAAGGTTGAGAAGGGACAGTGTTGACTTGTTTTGGGGTTGTTAACCATTGTCATACGGCAATATGTGTACTGTTTAATGAGAAACTATTCTGTAAACCTTCATCTAAAGTACAAAAAAAAAAAAAAAGAAGAATTATCTATGTGAGATCAAATTGATAACAGAAACTCAAAAGGTTTGATGGGAAGCCTAGGGGGCAGTGAGTTGAAGATAATGGTGATGGAATAATTTGGAAAAGATAGAATAGCAGCACAATGGGAAGAATGTAATCGATGTCACTGAAGTGCACACGTAGAAATTTTTGAAATGGTGTAACTTTGGGTATGTATATTTTCACCAAAAAAAAGGTCCTCCAAGGTCGAGAAGGGAGAGTGTTGACATGTCGTGGGGTTGTTAATATCATAAAACAATATGTGTACTGTTTAATGAGAAACTATTTGTTCTGTAAACCTTCATCTGAAGTAAGATAAAAAAAAATTAAAAGAAAAAAAAAATCCTACAGAGTCACATGGGTTGGCGGCTAACAAAAATAAATTAGAAGAGATGAAGCTGATACAATTTTAGTGTGCCAGCTGTGATTGCTGAGTCATCACAGTGAATGGTGCTGTTTTCTTCTTCACCATGTTCTTGGATCTCTTTGCAAAACTGTGATTCGACCCTTGCTATGATTTAGGGAACAAATCCGGAGAAAAGAGAGCTGGTTTTCTTCACTCTTTCCCCTACAGATTTTGCTTATGACCTCTCTTAACTTTGGCAGATTTGACACAGAGGAGGAGGCTGTAGCAATCGCTAACGCAGCTGACGTTGGTTTAGCAGGTATGTGTTTTTCTTCGTTCAGCAGCCATGATGGTGATTTTCTCAAATGAGTGCTGGAGTTTGTCTTTTAAATACTCCCCTGGGATTTTTTTTTTTTTTAACTTTAGTTTTTGGGAAGCAGTAGGGGGAGTGAAAATATATAACGGATCGCTGGGTGGTTTTGATTTGTATTTCCCTAATAACTAATGGGAGCCCTGCTGGCATTAGTGTTTAAGAGGTATGGCTGCTAACCAAAAGGTCAGCAGTTCAAGTCCTCTAGCTGCTCCTTGGAAACCCTATGGGGTAGTTCTACTCTGTCCTAAAGTGTCACTATGAGTCGGAATTGACTGGACAGCAACGGGTTTGGGTTTTTTTTTTTTTTTGGAATAACTGATGACGTTGACCATCTTTTCATGTGCTTGTTGGCCATTTGTGCTGACATGATGTCTTTAATGGATATTCTTCATGCTGTATGTGTCCTTTTATCCCTACGACAGGTTATTTTTACTCTCAAGACCCAGCCCAGATCTGGCGAGTGGCAGAACAGCTGGAAGTTGGCATGGTTGGAGTTAATGAAGGATTGATTTCCACCGTGGAGTGCCCTTTTGGGGGCGTAAAGCAATCTGGCCTTGGACGAGAAGGGTCAAAGTATGGCATTGATGAGTATCTGGAACTCAAGTATGTGTGCTATGGGGGCTTATAGGATCCTTCAATCCTCTAAAGTATAAAAATAAAAAAACTTACCTACCTAAGTGGGGACATGCCATCCATTATTTTAGATAAACTTAACAGGGTCTTCCTGGGTTATCTGAGTGTATGAATGTTTTAGACTCATCTGGTCCTTGTAATCTTAGATGCTCATTCTGCTCCTCCCATCACCCAACTAGGGACCAATATGTGCCACATGGTAGTGGCTGCAGACTCCAAGAGAACCAGCACTGGGTTTGTAGAGTGAAGTCCCGGGACCTCCCACAACCCAGACTGCTCCAGAGCAGTGCTTGGCGTGAGGCAGGCAGCCCCTTCTGCCCTGTCACAAGGGCTTGGTTACTGACTATGCAATGACCCAACCACCTCTCATGTGGTTCTGGAGCATGTGCCCAGGGGGCAGCATGGCAGAGCCCAAGTATGACCAATGGGCTGGTCAGGGGGCACAACATCCCCTTCCTTCCCTAGCAGTCAGCCAGCTCAGCCCTAAAGACTCATTGTGTGTCCAGGTCCAGGGTTGTTACAGTGGAGGTTGAATCGATTTTTTTTTTTTTTACTGGATGAATTTTTTTTTTATTGTGGTAAAAGTATATATAACAAAACATTTGCCATTTTAGCATTTTTTGTACATATACAATTCAGTGACGTTGTGTTCACTGTGTTGTGCAACCATCACCACTATCCATTTCTAAATTTTTCCATTGCCCGAATTTACTGGTTTTTAAAGACTTCTGAAATCACACAGAATGGCCTGTGCTTTTCTGAAGAATGGAGGAACACCTCTCCTCTTTCTGAATCACTTTGTACATTGATGCCTCATCATCCTGAATTTACTGCTTAAAGATTTTCATTTTGGTTCTGTTTTCTATTTCATTTCGTTTCCTTGAGGAAATGAGCCAAAGCGTCGGGGGAAAGAATAGCAGAGGCAGCTTCTTAGGATGGAAGGGCCATAGTTGCTAGGCCTGGCTCTTTTACTGAGTAGCTCTGTTACCTTGAACATACCCTTCCACATGCCTCCCTGCCATACTATGAGCCTAAGAGAAAGTGGAAGTGCTTTACAAAAAAAAATGAAAATGCAGTGTAAGTTATTACTAGCAGCACCACCCCAGCCCCCTTGTGCCTCCAGCAGTGGCAGTGGCTTGGCCCAGGTGAGCCCATCTGCCTGGGCCTGAGTAGGTGGTTGTTGTGTGCAGCCTGCATGCAAGGTTGCTCCTTCACCTCCAAAAAACAAAAGCACTGCAGTAATGTCAAGAGGGAGAATTTCCATAACTGCCGGTTCCTCTGCAGCTTGAATTTCAGGCACCTTTTACCTAAGAAAGGAGCCCTGGTGGTGCAGTAGTGGTTAAAGCGCTCAGCTGCTAACCAGAAGGTTACCAGTTCAAACCCACCAGCAGCTCCATGGGAGAAAGATAGGACATTCTGCTTCCGTAAAGATTTACAGCCTTGGAAACCCCATGGGGCATTTCTACTCCTACCCTATAGGGTCGCTATGAGTCCGAATCGACTTGTTGGCAGTGAATTTGGTTTGGTTTTTACCTAAGAAGAGTTTCTACAGTCATTGTAGAAAGCCCCCATGGCCTATGTTGCCACTCACCCTGAAAGAAAAACTCTGAGTAAGAAAATTGTAGACTTTGTGGTCATGTCTAGTGCCTGCTCTCCCATCCGTCCTGACACACTGAGGAATAGGAATTAAGGCTGTTTTTGGCTGAATAGGCAAAGATGAAACTCCTTCCCTTCTACGCTCTCTGCGTGCAAGACCCACTGACATTCAATGGACATTCTAGGTAATGCAAGGAAAACATGAATGAGAGTAGTGCTAGATGCCATTACCCCTGAATCCCACCCAATACTTAGCATCCCTCGTTGACCCTTTGAGGGAGCTGTGGTTGAATAACTGAAGGGTCTGGAAAGTCCTTGTGCACCTAGGAATGGCTGCCAATCGTGGAGCTGCTTCCCATTTGACCTGGGTCACACTAGCCATATCCCAAGGCCTGAAGGAGAAGGGAGCTGAAATTACCTTCCTGGTAACACTGCCCAAAGGTCCCTGGGTGGCGCAAATGGTTTGCGCTTTACTACTAACTGAAAAGTTGGCGGTTCAAACCCACTCACCAGCACTGTGGAAGAAAGGGCTAGCAGTCGGCTTCTATAGAGATTACAGCCAGGAAAACCCTATGGAGCAGTTCTACTGTGTAACACATGGGGTCGCTATGAGTCGAGATTGACTCGGTGGCAGTGGGAAACACTGCCCAAGCCCTGTCAAGAATCACATATTCAGCATAGTGACAGTTAATTTCTATTCCTTATTTTTTATAGTTTTTAGAGGTTTTAGGTTTTATATAACATACTAATTACTAATTACTCTTAAGACTTGGGTGTGTTTGTTTTTTTCCATTAAGCATGAAAAGGCTCTAACATTGTTATTTAGAAGTCTGGAATACTGATGGTGAAACGTTTGAAGGAATACTTTCAAATAAACTTTTAACTTTGTAAGCCAGCGATTCCTTGGAAGGGTGGCAGATTATGAGTTTTCTTGTGTATTTGGCTCACTGGGTACCTAAATTGAGGGCCAGCAACTCAGTGCAATGTCCTTAATGAATTTTGCAATTAAAATGAACATTTCTTGTTTTTCAGTAATGTAACCATATGTGATGGATATGATTTTTTTAAAAATATGCTTTACACCATGAAATAGGAAGGGACCGTTAGACCAAAGGTTGGCAAACTGGCCCACAGACCAAATCTGGCCTGCTACCTGTTTTTGTGCAATACACATGCTAAGAATGGTTTTTATATATTCAAATGGTTGGGGAAAAAAATCAAAATAATAATATTTCATGATACATGAAAATGACACAAAATTCAGATTTGTGTCTATAAATAAAAGTTTTATTGGAACACAGCCACGCCCATTCATTTACGATATATTGCTATGGCTGTTTTCATGGCAGCGTTGAGTGGTTGCAGCAGAGACAGTATGGTCCACAAAGCCTAAAACATTTACTGTTTAGCTTGTTACAGAAAAAGTGTGCTGACCCCTGATCTAGACCAGAAGGGAGATATTGACCCTCCCACGTTTTTCACTGACTGTGTAAAAGGTACTTTTGTGGACACTGCTACAGTGAGTTCTCAGCAAGAACTTCCCAGCAATTATCCCATAACTCAAATGGAATTACCCAGACAACAAGAGTCCACTGGTCTTGAAAAAAGTGATTCCAGTTACTTCCTCCATCTGTGCAGGGATTCTCTCATTTGAAGAGCTGATCAGCATCTGAGATCTTTCATCAGTTTTGAGTGGCTTTTAAATATGACTTTGTGTGAAGTGCTTTTTCCTTTTTCCCTGTATACCTTTAATCTTATGGGATGGCTCAAATAAAGACCAGAAGCATTATGTAAACAAATCTATTTTATTGTTAACGGATACTACTCTTTAAATTGTGCCACGTGACAGCCTTTTCAGAAAGCTGGATACCAGTGTTTCAGGGACTCATATGCAGATAGTTAATTAAATAATATTTATACTGTGGTTTTTTTTCTTTTTTTTCATGTTGTACTTTGTGGGATAAAACTTGGCAATAAGTGTAATGGGAAATGGATAAACATTTTGCTTTTTAAATGTGCACATAACTCATTTTTCCAGTTTTTAATAACTGTGTTGTCTGTATCTGTGTCTTGTCAGCAGACAGAGTCGTGTGTGTACGTAATTAATAAATGTTGAATTAACTTGACAGAATATCCTACTTCTGCATTAAGGTTTCTGGTTGTGGCTTTTTTCTCGTCAGTTCACCATTTGAGTTTTTATCGGATGTTATTAGAACAGCTGAGATGTGTGTAAATGGTACTCCTTCCCCAGAGAGTGCCTTGGGGCAGGGAGCTTGCGTGTGAAATTTTGTATCCTGGCACCCAGAGGAGGGCTTCCCCGTGCCTGGAGCTTGTGTTACTTTCCTTCACCTGGTGTAGTAATGTACGACAAAGTGGGTGCCTTAAAACAATAGGAATTTATCATCTCCCAGTTCTGGAGGCCAAAAGGCTGAATTCAGGGTGTCAACAGGGCTGTCTTAGTTATCTAGAGCTGCTATAACAGAAATAACCACAAGTGGATGGATTTAACAGAAATTTATTCTCTCACTGTCTAGGAGGCTACAAGTGTGAATTCAGGATGCCAGCTGCAGGGAAAGGCTTTCTCTGTGGGCTCTAGGGAAAGGTCCTTGTCATCAGTCTTCCCCTGGACTAGGAGTTTTCTCAGCATAGAGACCCTGGGTCTAAAGGACACGCTCCATTCCTGGCTTTTCTTGCTTGGTGGCATGAGGTCCCTCTTTCTGCTCCCTTCTCTCTTTTATATCTTAAAAGAGATTGACTCAAGATACAACCTACTCCTGTAGAGTGTGTCCTGCTCATTAACATAAGTGCATCTAATCCTGCCTCATTAACATCATAGACGTTAGGATTTACAACACGCAGGATAATCACGTCAGATCACAAAATGGTGGACAACCACACAATACTGGGAATCATGGCCTAGCCAAGTTGACACACATTTTAGGGGACACAGTTCAGTCCACAACAACTTCAGCTTGGGGAAGCTTTAAAGGAAGAGTTTTATGCTAAGTCTGAGGCTGACTCAGTTATCTCAGAAGCTGTTTCTTTAAACTCCTTTATTTTAATAATGGAAAATCATCATTATCGGAATTATAAAGACTTGGTTCGTTTACTTCAGAAAGCACAGTTTTGGTCTCTCAGTAAACCAATCCAGAGCTCTTACAGGACTGAGGATGATCTAGGAAGCCATTTAATTAGTTTAACTACAACAGCCTCACTTCCATTACCAGCATCTTTACCTCAGCAAGCGTTTGCTCATCAAAGTTGTTAGTGGATTGGGTTAAATAGCTTGAAAAGGAGGGAACTTGTTGCTTGAGGAGGAAATGTCTCCAAAAATGGATACATACTGTATGATTCCATTTATATAAAACTCTAGAAAATTCAAGCCAATCTAGAGTGACAGCAGATCAGTGATTGCCTGGGATGCTGATACAAAAGGGCACAAGGAAACTTGGGGGTGATATATCTGTTCATTATCTTGTCGTGATGGCTCCACAAGCATACACATAGGTCAAAACTTACCAAATTGTAGTATTTAACAATGTGCAGTTTACTGTATGTCAGTTATATCTCAATATGCTTTTTTATTTTTTTTAAAAGGCAACAAAGCCTCAATTCCAAGCCTTTTAGCCGTCCAGTAGCCCTTTCCAATAAACTTCTGTCAGCTGTGTAACAGGGAGGCAACCCTTAGAACAGCCAGGCATGAATGGCTCTGCGGTTTTAAGAGATCAATAAATAACATCCAACTCGTCTAGAGTTTGCAGCTGAGAAATTGATGGAGGAGTCAGATGGAATGCAAAAGGTCGGCTTCATTATGATAGGACTAGGTTAGGGGATGTGGCTTAGGTACACACTCCCTTGAATCTAATTTTCTGCCCAAAACTGTAGGCCTTTTCCAGTAGGGGGCAGACTCGGCCCATTCATGGCAGGGAGGGACCGGCATTTACCACCTTTGCAGCCCTGGTGGTGTAGCACTTAAGCACTAAGCTGCTAACCAAAAGGTCAGTGGTTCAAATCCACCAGCCACTCTGTGGGAGAAAGATGTGGCAGTCTGCTTCCCTAAAGATTTACAGCCTTGGAAACCCTATTGGGCAGTTCTACTCTGTCCTGTAGGGTCGGTATGAGTCGGAATCCACTCCACAGAAGCTGGTTTTTGTCGGCAGCTGGATTTAAACCAAGGAGCAGGAAGGCTGAGCTGAGCATACTCAGTTGCTCCCAAACTCACCAATTAGGCAGGATCCTCCACTCAGAGAAAGGAAGGAGTAAAGGGTGGAGAGAGCGAACAGGGGTGCTCCTCCAGGCTTCCAGAAATTTCTATAAAGGGCCAAACAGGAAATATTTTAGGCTTTGTGGACACAGTCTCAGTGGAAACTATTCAACTCTGCTGTTGTAGGGCAAAAACAGTTACAGACAATGTGTACGTAAAAGAACGAGCAGGGGTATATTCCAGTAAAACTTTACTTATGGATACTGAATCTGAATTTTATGTAAGTTTTACAAATCACAAAATAGTCTTGAATTTTTTCAACCATTTGAAAACGTAAAAACCATTCTTAGCTCGCGGACATTATTAAAACAGGCCGCCAGCCATAGTTTGCTGACCCCTACTCAGGGAGGGCAGTGCCTCTACATGGAAGCATAAAGGAGAAAGTACCCACCTCATTACAGAAAAACCAGACACCTTTATTTCGATTAGTATATATATTTAATAGTGTTATATTAGGAATGATCCCCTGTCAACACATGGAAATAAATAATACAATTTTAAAAATAAAACCAAGATTTAAACCAAAGTCCATGGTAGCTTGGTCACACACACAAAAGGAATGGTACTCCCCCTCCTCCCTGCCCACAAAACTGGCATAGTTGATGTGTTAAGTGTGTTGAACAGGAAAATTAATAACAGACATCTTACTCTGATTTTAAGGGTTTTTTTTTACCCACAAAATGAAAATATTAAGCATAAAAAGCCTGACCGAAACTGTAAAAGCCTGTCAGAAACTGCTCTACCCATACCTGTAGCCATTGAGTGGGTTTCCAAGGAGCGGCTGGTGGATTCAAACTGTCAGCCTTTTCGGCTAGCAGCCAAGCTCTTAACGGCATGCCACCAGGGCTCCAAGACTGCTGTACAGCACTGTAAATTGCCAGAAGTAACCTGGTATCAGTCGCTGTCAGTAAAGAGGGGGAAGGCAGGGTTCAGCCAATCACGTTAAGATTAGCCAATGGTTGATTTTCTATTCTTTTCCCTCCTCTTCTCTTTATAAGCCTCATTGTACCTAGCTGCTTCTAGCCATTTGCTTTATCTAGAATCAAAATGGAAACCCTGGTGGCACAGTGGTTAAGAGCTACAGCTGCTAACCTAAAGGTCAGCCGTCAAATCCCCCAGGTGCTCCTTGGAAACCCTATGGGGCAGTTCTGCTCTGTCCTATAGGGTCAATAGGAGTTGGAATTGACTCAACAGCAATGAGTTTGATTTGGTTTTGGGTCTGGAATCAAAATGGTCTCCCTATATGCATGTAGAATAACTGCTCAGAATAAACCTTATGTTCACATTTTGGTGAATTTTGACAAGTGGTTAATTCTCTTATCTCATTGCATGTTCTTTCTGCAGTTTCTCTAGTCATAACTACGCTTAATCTCAATACTGTGGGTCTGAATCTTCCTTCATGGCATCTAAACCAGTAACTGAGTCCCTACAAACACCCTCTCCCACGTTTTAGGGCCCAACTTTTCTCCTTCTACACAAAGCTCTTAAAAAAACAAAAACCATTCCCATGGAGTCGATTCTGACTCATAGCGACCCTATAGGAGAGAGTACAACTGCCCCATAGAGTTTCCAAGGCTATATCTTAACTGGAGTAGACTGCCACATCTTTCTCCCGAGGAGTCGCTGATGGGTTTGAACCGCCGACCTTTCGGTTAACAGCCAAGTGCTTAACCACTGTGCCACCAAGGCTCCTTCCCAAAGCTCTTAGAGCCCTTTATCTCCCAAACACCCTTAATGATAAGAGGCACAAGACAAAGAATTCTGCTTAGGTCATTCCTCCTCATGATCTGGTCCTCTGAGGAAGAGTGGGCCCACTTTCTGATCGCTAGTATAGTGTTTACTTTTGATTCACCATAAATTCAAGATCCTTCTGTGGTGGGAGGGTCAGACAGGCCAGGCTGAGATGGCCAGAAGAATCAAGGAGGTGGAGAGGCAGAAGCTGCCCATTGCAAAGCAACAGGGAGGGGCAGCAATGGAGAGACTAGGGATGCTCTCTTGATACCTCAAAAGGAATTCCTCTTAGTCTTAGGAACACAACTTGTAGGTGGTCTGAAAGGTCCACCAGAATTTACCCTCCAGCAGTTGGAGTGGGGAGTTCTTTGTGTAGTAGGGAGAAAAACATGGACTTTGCAGTTAAAGAAATGTGCATCCAATTCCCAGATCTACCACTTATTGGCCGTGACCTTGGGCAAATTACTTCACCTCTCTGGACGTTCAGATTGTTATCTGTAACATGAGAACGCTGTAGTAACATCTACTTTCAAGGTTGATTGTAAGGCTCAAGTATGTAAAATATGTATATTATGTATACAAAGCACTTAACAAATGTTCACTCCCTTCTTCATCATTATATTCCATTGAGTTCACATTTGGGGTACTGTCCTCTATGCCAGAAATTTCCTGTTATGCACAAAAATAACACTTATAATCTGGTCAGGGTAGATTTTAAGTTCATGAATCTAAATACAAAAAGCATCACATTTTCCTTCTAACACAATCGAGAGTATTGAACACGACCAACTGGCTAGCTTTCCAGAAAATGTAGGCATAAGCAGAGAAAGTAAAAAATAAAATTACACTCCCGTACTTTTTATTTCTGCCATTTGCCAATAAAGTACAATAATTAAAAACAAGATGGAACCATGAGGACAAGTATTACAGAAGATGACAAAAGCACACGACAGCTTAATTTTTTTTGAGGGCCCCCGAGAAATATTTTCTCTGTCACTCCTTCTCTGATGGTTTAAATGTCTTACGTTTTCCTCTTACTCAGCAAAGCAATCCTAGTTCTTCCCATGTGTTATAGAAGAGTTGGTCAACCAGATACTGTATAGGTGAGGAAACTCTTGATGCCACAGCACTGGTTTTATCTGTGGTTGGCCCCAGGTCTCATTCTAATCTTCCCACAAAGAATGCCAAGTGCACCACCCAGGCCACTTTGTGGGCTGACAGGGACCAACAATGAACCATTATATTTGCCAACCTACAAGTAACAACAGTACAGATTTACTCTGGCCTATGCTTTGTGGTTGGTGATGGTTTAGTTGTTTTTTTTTTTTTTTTTTGCCCCCATACGTTTAAAAGAGGATTTATTTAGTAAACAATTATTTGAGTAAAAAAAACTTTAAAAAATAAATATCTGTTGTTAAACATAGGGGGTGGATATAACCAGCTGTTATGGAACATACCTGTAGGGGCCGGAAGTATCATTAACATACCATCCTAATTAAGACTGACTGTATTTCAGATTTACAGAACACAGACAAAGTTGCTGAATCCATATCCCTATCTATGGTAGTTCAAATGCATGCTCTATAGTACATATTCAATAAATAAACACTTGTGTTCAAGGTAAACTGAGCTAAGAGAAGCTTTAGTGTATTTTGATAAAGACTGTTAAAATGCTACATTCAACTTTCAGCCTACAAATCATTAAACCCCACCTTACTTTCTATTGGAGTCCCTGGGTGGGGCAACTAGACTGCTAACCGAAAGGCTGGAGGGTCTAGTCCACCCAGAGGTGCCTTGGAAGAAAGGCCTGGTGATCTACTTTCAAAAAACCAGCCACTGAAAACCCCATGGAGCACAGTTCTCTGACACATGTGGGGTTGCATAAATCGAAGTGTACTCTACACCAAATGGGTTTTTGCCCCCCTTTCTATTGCTTGTCCTTAGAATACAATTCTTAGCCCTTGATCTTTCAAGAGGGCACAGAAATGGTGGGGAAGAAAACAGGAGGGCTTTGCTATGTATGGATATCCTAATGAGCACAGAAAAATTGCTGGACAGACTACTTTGGCCTTCTCCACAGAGGGCTAACCATACCTCTTAGATAAGCCATTCTAATATCCACAGCCATCTGACTCGGCAGGTTCTACCAGAAGCGTGTTTGCAAAATCATCCTTAAGGGAAGTCACAGATACTAAGAGAAATCAGCCCTCTTTCAATCTTTACTCACGTTCTCCAGCATTCTGCAGATAGAAATAGATGTTAATCTTTATTTGAATGTGACCAATATAATATTGTGCCAGCTATAAAAATACAAACTCTTTTAAGTATACAGGTACTAGCTGACTTATGACGTGTTCAAGTTATGACAAACTGCACTTAACAATCATACTTTTTTTTTTTGCTTAGATAATGTGTGTATAACTGGAGAAGCAGGAAGCGCCAATGTTGAAGCTGTAAATTTATAGTAATGTTTCCCAGTCCTAAAGAGAAATAAATATTGCATTTATAAAGATACTGATAATAAAAGGCAATAATAATGAAAACTAAAAAAAGATGTATTCAACTTAAGTCAGAACCAATTTACAAGTTGTTGGAACAGAACTCTGTCGTCAGTCAGGGACTACTTGTATACCTTAGAATGTACCAGCCTTCATTCCTATTAACAAGGATTCCAGTTAAAAGAGCAATATTTGTTTTATTTTGTGTCTTGAAAACCCTAAGTAAACAGGTCTTATAAAATACAGGGATGCAAATCCAGCCCAGTGAAAGGTTGCTAATGCACTATTCTAATGAATTAGTTTTGTGTTTTAACTCCCATTAACTGGGCCTGGAGTAAAGAATTCCTATTGAGGTCCTTCCGTTTTAAGTCAGCTCCATTATCTGTCCTTTGCGCAATAGCTGAAGGAAGCTCCATTTGGGATGGAGCCATTCATGGAGACCTTTGGATTCCCTCTTTCCATCTGTTCTTGGCTAAAGATTGTGTCCTGGTCACTGTCAAACTCGGACTCAGACACCATCAAGCTGGAGTTGTGTTCTATGCTTCGGTGCTTAATACCTAAGAAGAGGCAGACAGAAGCATCTTGAAAGGCCATTTTTCACTCTCAGCTGTTGGTCATACTGGTGGCAGGTCACATGAGGAGCACAGACTTGCATTCTTTGCACCATCAAAGCAACCGCCCACACAGCAGTGGTCTGGGTTGTGTAGTGATTAATAACACCTGGGTTTGAGTCACAGCTTTGATACTAGCTGTGTGACGTTGGGCAAAATACCTAATCTCTCTGGGCTTTCAGTTTCCTCATTAACTAAACTGAGGATAAGAAAGCATAGGTTTATCCTGAGGATTAAATAAGACAGTGCAGGTAAAGCTTTTGGCCCAGCACTTAGCACATAGTAAGCACTCACAGTGGTGAAGAGCTCGGCAGCTAACCAAAAGGTTAGCAGTTTGAATCTACCAGTGGCTCCTTGGAAACCCTATGGGGCAGTTCTACTCTGTCCTATAGAGTCGCTATGAGTCGGAATCGATTCAGTGGCAGCGGGTTTGGTTTTTTGGTTTAAGCACTCAACAGTCCCTAGGTGGTGCAAATAGTTTGCACACAGTTACTAATCCAAAGGTTGTTGGTTCAAACCCACTCAGTGGCACCTTGGAAGAAAGGACTGGCAATCTGCTTCTGTAAAGATTATAGCCATGGAAACCCTCTGGAGCAGTTCTACTCTATAATACATGAGGTTGCCATGAGTCGGAATCAACTTCAACGGCAACAGTTTTTGTTTTTTTTTTTTAAGCACTCAATAAATGAAAGCTGTTGTGATTTTACTATTTGGTTCAACCAAATATTTCTGTCAAAAGAAAAGACAGAGCAGGTCTAAGATATGATCCCTGCTCTCAAAGGACTTATACTCTAGGTAAGGGCTTAAGACATTGACTCATGAAAAGATGGCTCGTAACAGGCAAAAAATTTTTTACAAAAATCTTACATGAATCAAGAGGAGATAACCACACATAGTTATGGTTCGGGTTACTTCAATAAAGTTTCACAAGGCATGGGATTTAAAGAAAGGAAAACTTGGATGGGAGGAGCTGGGAGGAACATCGAGTGTGCAGAGGCACCCAGGAGTATTTGGAAAAAAACAGTCTCTTTGTTGCAAATGATTCATGTAAAAAACAATGAATGAGAGGCTGGAGAGAGGAATAGATGCTCAGAGAAAAGCTCGGGAATGTGAGGGAAACTATGATATTTGAATTTTATTCTATAAACAAAGGAATGACACATGTGCAGGACGGAAGGAAGAAAGAGAGGCCACTTGAGAGCTGTCTGCAGAGATACAGGCAGTGCACAAAGGTGGGAGAGCCCAGGCCCTGGGGCAGATGGCCTGGCCCAACCCACCTCTGACACTCACCAGCTCTGTAACTTGGGCAAGTTGCTAAACTTCCCTTTGCCTCAGTTTCCTCTTCTGTAAAATGGGGATAATCATAGGATATACCTCATAGAGTTGTTGGTAGTGTTAGAATTAAATGGAGAGAGTACTTAGAACAGAACCTGGTACATATTAAACATTAAATATCTGTTAACTACAATTGGTATACAATTAGTTCGGATGTGAGGACCTGAACTAGAGTGGTGATGATGAGGACGATGAGGACAGAAAGTAAAAGACCAGGCAAAACAGGGGGGCTGGAGTGGGAGGCAAGAGGGAAGCACCAATGACTGAGGTTTAAAAAAAAAAAAAACAGTTGTCAAGTCTGTTCCCACTCATGGCAATTCCACGTGTGTGTGAGTAGAACTGTGCTCCATTGGGTTTTCAATGGCTGATTTTTCAGTAGATCGCCAGGTCTTTCTCCTGAGGTGTCTCTGGGTAGACTCAAACCTCCAACCTTTAGGTTGGCAGCCAAGCAGGTTAACTGTTTGCACCACCCAGGGACTCCGAGGTTTGTTGTTGTTAGTTGCCCTCGAGTGGATTTCGACTCATGGCGACCCCATGTGTGCACAGTAGAACTGGTCCATGGGGTTTTCAAGGCTGTAACCTTCTGGAAGCAGATCACCAGGCCTTTCTTTTGAGGCACCTCTGGGTGAGTACACACTGCCAATCTTTTGGCTAGTAATTGAGTGCTTAACCATTTGGGCTACCCAGGGCCCCAGCTGAAGTTTAGAACCTGGATAATAGGAAGAATGGTGGTTCTAAAAATAAACACAGGACTATCAGAAAGATGAGTGTATTTTAGGAAGAAGATGGGTGAGATAATGCAGCCCAAAGCATTTTTGGCTCTCAGGTATGAAGTCACTTTATAATACCTAAGATATTAAATTATGTAATGCCAATAGTGAACATTCAATTAATGTAGGCTATTATTTTTATTTCCTATGAAGTTTTTCCTGCCAAAGCCCCTTCACTACACTCATACAAAATTGGCCATTCTGGCCTCTGTGTTCCTACAGGGCATCTTCCAGGCTTCTGTAGGCTTTTTTGCATCCCGGTGTAATTATCCTCCCTTATAAAGGCAGGCATTGTGCTTCATTCTGCTCCCTGTCTCCAGGGCCAAACCTGGTGTATATGTACGTAGTAGGCACTCAACAATTACCGTGGGCAACATTTTCCATCTCACAACTTTGAAAGTAATTATGGCTATCTGTAAGAATTAATTTAGTGATACATCCAGAACTATAGAAAATCTATAGATGCAGTGCTAGGCAGCCTCAGTGGGTCTGAGAAGGTTCATTAAATCTTTAACAGTTAATAGATCAATAGAATCAAAAGGTAACTGAGGTGGGCGAGAGGTAGTTCTAAGCATAGGGATCAATTCGTTTTGTGAAGAAAGTCAAATTTCCGTAAAAGCCTTTGTGTCCATCTATATCCGTGGCTACTTAGCTAATGCAGCTGCTGAAGAATGGCTGTGTAGGAACTTAAAGTCCAATGTTATTTTGCTGCGTTTCTTAGCTGGCAAACCTAAAGAGAACAGCATTCAGAGATGAGCTGGGGTGAAACAGCATCACATGCCCCATCACCCTCCAACCATGAGGAGAGAAGAGGGCAGTGGTGGTGGTTCAGTGGTAGAATTTTCGCCTCCCATGAGGTAGACCTTGGTTTGATTCCTGGCCAGTGTACCTCATGCACAGCCACCACCTGTCAGTGGAGGCCTGTGTGTTGCTATGATGCTGAACAGGTTTCAGTGGAGCTTCCAGACTAAGACAGACTAAGAAGAAAGGACTGATGATCTACTTCCAAAAACCAGCCAATGAAAACCCTGTGGATCACAACAGTCTCATCCTCATAGAGATGGCATTATGTTCTGTTGTGCCTGGGGTTGCTATAAGGTGACTCACCAGCTAACATGAGTAAAGCCAGGCCCTGGTAACACCTCTGCTTGAAAAGCAGCCTTTGCCCTGGGTTTTTTTGGTAGGTGCTCAACTGATAACAGGATTTGCATATCACTTACCATTAATGCCTCAAAATCCTTTGCCAAAATTTCATTACATTTATAACTATTGCCTCCCAGGTAGCATATCTCTCAGAGGTGATGTAAGTTGTTTTCCACGACAGAATCCCAGCCTCACTGTACCATCCCAAAGAGCTGACTCAAGCCTGTTCTCACTCTCAACCAAGATAACTCTCAGGCAAACACCTGGATTAAAAATAATTCTAAGTACCAGGAAATCATCTTGGATACTGTCTTACCATATTTGGGCCTCAGCTCCATTTTTTCCTGTTCATCCATGTTATCCAAAACAGTGTACTTTGTTTTTTTCGTTATTTTAGTCCTTTTTTGTCTAAAAGAAACAATGAAAAAGTTTAACTCAGATTATCAGAAAGGTAACTGGGATCCAGGATTTAAAATATGTTGAGGGCACTAAAGGAAATGTTTTGCCCTTAATATTTAATAATTGGCATCTTTTATTAATAATAACAATATGCAAGACCAGGTCCGAGTTCAGGAAGATAGAGATATATCATGCATCTTGAAGAAACACATGTAGGAGTAGGAATGGCCACACCACTATCAGCCACCTAACTGCAAGACCTCAGCCACACCTCAGGTAAAGGTGCCAGAAACTTTTAGAATAATCCTCATACCTGTGTGCTGGCCCAGAGAGCTTTTCTCCATGAATAATTTCTTACTCAGAAAAAGCTAGATGAGCAAGCTCCCTCCCTGAAATTATACTACACTGGAATTTCCAAAGGTGAAGGAAGGAAAAGATGTCATGAACTACCAATCAGAAAACAAAACAACAAGAACAAAAAAAAACCCAAGCAACTAGATAAACTGCCCTAACAATTGATAAAGATAATGTTCTACAATCCTAGTCTGGTGAGTAGTGTTTGGGGTCTTAAAAACTTGTGAGCAGCCATCTAAGATACAATTATTGGTCTCTTCCTGTCTGGAGCAAAGGAGAGTAAAGGAAACCAAAGACTCAAGAAAGAAATCAGTCCACAGGACTAATGGCCCACATGAACCACAGCCTCTTCTAGCTTGAGACCAGAAGAACAAGATGGTGCTGGCCACCAACCATTCTGACTGAGCATTCTGACCATGGACACAACAGAAGGTCCCAGTTAGAATGGGAGCAAAAGGTAGAACAAAAACTCAAATTCATAAAAAAAAGACTAGACTTAAACTAGGCTGATAGAGACTAGAGGAACCCCCAAGATTATCGCCCTGAGACACCCTTCCAACCTGGAACTGAAGCCACTCCCGGAGGTCACCTTTCAGCCAAATAATAAATTGGCCTATAAAATAAACAATAACACCCGGGAGGAATGTGTTCCTTTAAACATTTACACAACATTAAATGGTCAACATTTACCCAAAAGCAAAGGTGAGAAGGCAAGGAGGGGCAGAGAAACTGGATGGATGGAAACAGGGCAGACATGGTAGAAAGGGGGAGAGTGCTGACACATTGCAGGGATCGTAACCAATGTCACCGAACAATTTGTATATGAAGTGTTGAGTGGGAATCTAATTTGCTGTGTAAACATTCACCTAAAACATAATAAAATATTCAAAATAATTAATTAATTAAAAAAATAAGATTACAGTCAATTCCCAGAATTAATTGGCAACAACCCAGTCTTTCACTTTTTCACAATATATGAAAACAACAACTGGGTTGAGCCTATGTGCCTCTTCCTATGCTATAGAGGATTATTTGCAAACACACATCAAAACCATGCTAAGGTCTGCAAGGAACAAACAGATGTTACATAGCACAAAGGCAATTTTCTCAGTAGCTTGATGATTAGGAACATGGGCCTCTAACCCAAGGGTTTGAATCCTGGGTATAGCACTTACTAGTTGGGTGACTTTCAAAAAATTATTTGACCCTTCTGTGCCTCCATGTCCTCATCTGTAAAATGGGAGTAAGAACAGTCTTATATGTGCATGGGAGGACTAAATAAGATAATACAGGGTGGCAGGGAGGGGGAAAGGGGAGTTATTGCTTAGGAGACACTGAGCTTCTGTTAAGGGTGATGGAAAAATTTAGAAATGGAGAATGGTGATGGCTGCACAACATGGTGAACACAATATCACTGAATTGTACATGTGAAGAATGTTGAAATGGCAAATGTTTTGTTACATATATATTTACCACAATAAAATATATATATGAAGTGCTTAGAACCATTAATGACAATGGCAAATATTAATAAATGTTCACAGTCATCACCACCACCATCATCTACTTGATTCATGGCACAAAGGTGCAGAATTTTTAAAGCCATGCATAGTAGGGTGACCATCTCCCCAGATGCTTCTGGGATAACTTAATGGAATTTAGGCCTCTGCCTAAGTGTTTGTGGCTGGTTCTCTTTTATCAGGCTTTCCTTTGAGAAAGTAATCAAATAAAAGTGTACGTGATTTCTGAAAAGGAACTATTAATTATGGTAAACCCATTATTTTTTATCCCATGTTCTTTGCAGAGCAGTTATAATGTTTCATATAGAAAAGTGGACTCCACATGTTCTTCTAAGGACTTGAGTAGTCACCGTCCCTACAAATCTCCTCACAGAGGGCCGGGCACAGGTTTCTGGAAGAGTCTGCTGAAGAGGCTGCTTGGGGCTCCTCAGAAGTCAGCTCCAATGAAAAAGAAAAAAGGAAAACCTAGAGCAAAACTTCTCTTTAGTGGTATTATTACCTCGCTTAAGGTTTCACATTTATTAAAAGAGCTGGATTCAGGCAGATTTGATTTTTGCTTCATATAATTAAAATAATTAAAGTCCATTATTTGTACTAGTATGTTCCTAGAACTCTGCTCTACTGAGGGCTATTTAGTCAGGCCACTTAGGTACTGCTCTAGTGAACAGAACATGAGACTGATAGAAAAGAGCATTAGATTTGATATAGAATCACTGAACCTCCTAGAAAATGTAAGAGTGGTAAAGAGAAAAACCTGTCTCTGGCGTTACTGCCTTTACCTAGACACACATGCCTTATGTGTGTGTATATGTGGAGTGTATATATAAAGTACTTTTAACGTCTAGTATGTCTTCATAAAAAAGTGATTGTCAAACAGTTTAGCACTTTAACAAATGCAGGCAAAAGCTACCAAAGCTGTCATTTCACATTTAATGAGGTGTCTTTACTTCAAACAAATAAAGAAATAAACAAGCCCACCAGTACCTCTTGCAGCAGCAGATGCAAAGCCAAGTTAAACCCCCTGTTAGCACTGTAAGCGTAAAAGCCAGCATTGCCACATAGAATATACTCCACTCTGAAAAACAAGAAAACCAGAGTGGACAAAGTTATATACTATTTGCAAAACAACTAGATGATTCACAGTGAATATCTCTGCATCCTTCTGAGCAAAGGCCATCTATGGTGTTGACAGCACCTTGTCAGGCTGGTAGCAGGGCATAATAAGCAAGATAAAATACAAATAAAGCAACAACAACTTAAAACCATCCCATTAAAGAAAAAAAAAACACCCAAATAGATGCCCAAATGGTTCAAGGACCTCACAGGGCATCTATTTCATGCTAACTTGAGAACAGAATAGTCTGAATAAATAAAATCAATCAATTAAAAAGTAATGCTTTAAATATTGTGGTTTATATATACATATTTTTTTACTACAAGAAAAATAAATTTTTTTTTAATTGTAAAAAAAGTTGTTGAATCAGGTAGAGAAGGAATAATTTAAAAAGACGAAGTAATGCCTCTTATACTCCTATTTATGGCACATCAAAATATTCATTCCAGAATCAAAATAATCACAATCCTCCCCACCCTCTAATAAAAGTTCTGGCTTGATTTTAATGAAGCAATTGATGCACCAGTAGAGCTGCCTGTGGCATGAAGATGCTTCCTATGGACCCAGACAGCAATTCAGAGAAGAGCTGATCTTCATCCCCTCCACATCTGTCTTAGTCATCTAGTGCTGCTACAACAGAAATACCACAAGTGGATAGCTTTAACAAAGAGAAATTTATTTCTTCACAGTAAAGTAGGCTAAAAGTCCAAATTCAGGGCATCAGCTCCAGGGGAAGGCCTTCTCTCTCTGTCAGCCTTCTCATCAATGTTCCCCTGGCCTAGGAGCTTCTCCGCGCAGGGACCCTGGGTCCAAAGGACACGCTCTGCTCCTGGCACTGCTTTCTTGGTGGTTTGAGGTGTCCCTGTCTGTATCCCCCCACCAGCCCCCACTTCTGTCTTTTAACTCAAGAGATTGTCTCAGGACACAATCCAATCCTGTAGATTGAGTCCTGCCTCACTAATACAACTGCCGCCCATCCTCCCTCATTAACATCATAGAGGCAGGATTTACAACATATAGGAAAATCACACAATACCGGGAATCATGGCCCAGCCAAACTGATATACACATTTTTTGGGGGACATAATTCAATCCATGATAACATCTTTGCAGGAACCCAATGTTAAAAAGCTTTGCAACAGCACTTTAGGAACAGAGAAACCCAGTGAGCAAAAACACAAAGTTTAACTCTATTGAGCACTATATAATCTCCTTGGAGTAATGATCCAGGGTCCAGCTTTCTTCCGTAACACTGAGTGGGAGCATAATTTGGCAGTAAACGCTTATGATCTTCCCTGCCAATCATTTCCATGTGGATCCCCAAGACAGCAGATTTGCTCTTAGAAGTAGACTGGCATTCGAATACAGATTTCTCCCCAGAACTGAACTAAGGGTACCAGCTTGGCCTGCTGAGGCTGTGGCTCTAGTTTTTGATTCTTGCTTAGGTGGACAGCCTGAAAAAGTGGGCCCAATTCTCTTCTTCATCTGATTCCAGCAGGTCCGCGCTAGGAAGCATTTCACCAGATGGCCACCAAGAAAAAACAAAAACCATTTGCTGTCGAATCGACTGAGTCACGGTGACCCCATGTGTGTAAGAGCAGAACTGCGCTCCATAGGGTCTTCGATGGCTGATCTTTCAGAAGTAGATCACCAGGACTTTTCTTCTGAGGTGCCTCTTGGTGAACTCAAACCTTCAACCTTCTGATTAGCAGCCAAGCGCATTAACCATTTACATCACTCAGGGACTCCCCAGAAGGCCACACTGAGCCTAAACCAAGGCAGGTTCAGCATGGGAATGCAGCCTACATGGACTACAGAGACTCTTTCTTAGGCCAACAGTTGTTAGCCAAATCTGCTCTGCCAAAGTGAATTTCCTCATTAAAAGTTTTATGTAAAAGTGAAAGTATACCCCCCAAGGTATTAATAGCATAGTGCACTGCAGAGAAGATCTTAACTCACTACCAAGTGAGCCAGGAGTTCACCTGGTTTCCTGTAAGAAAAGGGCTGAATGTTTATATATTTCTGGTATTATAGAATAGGCTGTCATCAAGCTCCTCATGGAAAGCTACCACCACACTAGAACTCACCACAGTTACTTTCCCAGTCCCGGATATAACACTGTATCAGATTCTCCATCCATAACTGAGAGCAAACGCAGCGTTTTGTGATGCGGTCACAGTGACCATGGCCGGAACACTTTAGAAGACAACCTGCAGCGAGGTGAGTAGGGCCGAGGTGACCACGGAGGGAAGGAAAACCCCTGGCTTCAGCTTCTCTCCCATCTTCTATGGCAATGGCAGAAAAGAGTCCATCTATACCTTGTGGCAAAGGCCTTAAAATGTAGCCAAAATGTAGCACCCTCCGGCCTAATTCTAAAATTCTTAAAATAAATTCTAAGTATTTGTCCAGTAAAAATAATTGGGGATAAGCCCAAAGATTTATCTACATTAGAGTATTATTTAAAATCAACCTTAACAGCCATGAATGGAGGACTAGTTGCATAAACCCCATGGTGGGGTACTATGCAGCCATAAACATCTTATTGAAGAGAAATGATAAACAATTTAAGAAAATGTTCATGATATAATTTGAAGTTAAAAAGCAGATTAAAAATATTTATCAAATTATCCTAATTTTATTAAATATTTCTAGAGACAGGAACTGGAAGGAAATACATCAGAATATTAATAGAAATTATCTTTGGGTAGGAATTCTAGAATCTAGATCTAAAGGACTTTGTCCTTTGTGCCTTTCTGTATATTCAAAATTTCCTATGATAAACATATTACTTTTGTAGCTAGAACAAAAGAATTAAAAAATTAAATTATTCCACATTATAGTTGAGAATGTCAATTGTAAATAGATATATATCTGAAAAAAAATTAAATTTACTGCCCAGACAATATCATGTCCCTCGTAACTGTCATGTTCAAGCATCTATTGAAATTACCACTTCACCATAAGGAATTCATGTTCTCATAAAACAGTTAATGTAGTGTGACCTTGCAGTAGAGTGGTTAAGTGCTCAGCTGCTAACTGAAAGGTTGGTGGTTAGAACCCACCAGCCACTCCACGGGAGAAAGATGTGGCAGTCTGCTTCCATAAAGAGTTACAGCCTTGGAAACGCTACAGGACAGTTCTACTCTGTCCCATCGGGTCGCTATGAGTCAGAGTCAGCTCCACAGCAACAGGTTTGGGTTTGCTTTCATAGGATGAAGAAAGGGACCTTGGACAGAAACCATATTTCCATCCACACCTATGAATCACTTTGGTGCCCAGGAAGGGTGATAAGCAAGAGCTATGAAAAGAGGTACAACTAGAAGGCACTTATATGCTGTCTTAAACTTTCAATAGTCTGTACGACAGCATCATCAGAAACTAAGGTATGAAAGATGTCCAGGTAAACAAATTATATAAACATGGCTTTTTCAGCCAATAATACTTAACCTATCTTTAAGAATGTTGACAGTTTAAATATGCAATTTCTGATAATGACCATTTGTCTTAGTTACCTAGTGCTACTATAACAGAAATACCAAAAATGGGTGGCTTTAACCAACAGAAATTTATTTTCTCACAATTTAGGAGGCTAGAATTTCAAATTCAGGGCACCAGCTCTAAGGGAGGGCTTTCTCTATCTCCTCTGGGGGAAAATCCTTATCTACTTCAGCTTCTCTTCCTTGGTTCCTTGAGGATCGTCATGTGGCATGTATCTTCCCCTCCATTTGTGCCCCCTTCTCTGTGCCTAATCTGCTCATTTTATATCTCAAAGGTGATTGGCTTAAGAACACACCCTACACTGATATGTCCTCATTAACATAACAAAGAAAGTTCTATGCCCAAATGGGATTATATCCACAGGTATAGGTGTTTAGAATTTACAACACGTATTTTTGGAGGACACAATTCAATTCATAACACCATTATCTGTGAGTATAGTTTTAAAAACTGACTCATGACCAATATGCCTTTCCAGTTTCCCTCAAAGACAAAGAGTAGATGGCAAACGTGTTACAGGAAGCCTATTGGAGAAATAAGTGTAAAATGAGTCCCTGGATGCGAACGTGAAAATGTTCACACACATATCATTCCTTAATCTGTGCCAACAAAATTTACCCATGACTGGTAAGTCTGATTCTCTTAGAATATTCCTGTAGAGGACATACCTGCTGTGCCAATCCTGAAGACCTTGAAAAGCAAGAAGTTGGCCTTCTCCTTTGAGAGCCACACGTGCAGATTTTGGGCCACTTCAGCAGTGTTGATAACCTTGAAAGGCTTTCCACTCTGTACATAAAACACAATCACGGTGCTGCAGAGGAGACAATGAGAGAGAACAGCCACACAGTGAGGCAGGTGACCACCAGGACATGTGCACTCAGCCATGTAACCTATGAAGACGCACACTGCTACAGTTCTGTAGCTTGGCAAGGATGCAAGGGCACATTCTGTGGGCCAAGAAATTTTATCGGTTTCTATTCTTGAGTAAGGAGCCCTGGTGGCATAGTGGTTAAGAGCTTGGCTGCTAACCAAAAGGTGGGCAGTTTGAATCCACCATCCGGTCCTTGGAAAGTCTGTGGGGCAGCTCTACTGTGTCCTATAGGGTCTCTATGAGTCAGAATCAAACTAGACAGCAATGGGTTTGGTTTTTTTTATTCATAAGTAAAGCCTCTTCAGTCTCAAAGTACAGTTGATAGATCTTCACATAAAAAGAGCAATATGTATTATTTGTGCACAGACACAACCATACACAGAATACTTTACAGACATGTCTTTATTTTTACCTTTTTAAAATTGAAATATAATTTACATACCATAAAATTCACCCTTCTAAAGTGCACAATTCCATGATTTTAGTAAATTCACGAAGTCGTGCAACCATCACCATTATTTAATTATATAATATTTTCATCACTCTGAAAAGAAACCTTCTATCTATTAGCAGTCACTCTCCATTCCCCCATTCTCTCAATCCCTAGCAACCACTAATTTACTGTCTCTATAGATTTGCCTGTTCTGGACATTTCATATAAATGGAACTGTACAATATGTGTCCTTTTGTATCTGGCTGCTTTCACTTAGCATAACATTAGCAAGGTTCATCCACAGTTTAGTATGTATCAATACTTCATTTCTTTTTATTGATGAATAATATTTCATTGTATGGATATGAAGCCCTGGTGGCACAGTGGTTAAGAGCTCAGCTGCTAACCAAAATGTTGGTGGTTTGAATCCACCAGCCGCTCCTTGGAAACCCCACAAGGCAGTACTACTCTGTCCTGTAGGGTCGCTATGAGTTGGAATTGACTCGATGGCAATGAGTTTCGGGGTTTTTTTTTTTTTTTTTGGTATGGATATACCACATCTTGTTTATCAGTTCATCAGTTGACGGACACTTGGGTTGTCTTTACTTTTTGGTTATTATGAATAATGCTGCTATGAACATTCACATACAAGTTTTTATGTGAACATATGTTTTCACTTCTCTTCAAGTGAAAATCTAGAAGTGGAATTACTGGGTGATAACCCTATGTTCAACCATTTGAAGAACTGCCAAACTGTTTTCCAAAAGGGCTTCACCATTTTACATTCCCACCAGCAATGTATATGAGAGTTTCAATTTCTCCAAGTCCTCACAAGCACCTGTTACTGTCTGCCTTTTGATTTTAGCCATACTCAAGGGTTATGGAGTGGTATCTCATTATGTTTTTGATTTGCATTTACCTGATGGCTAATGATCGTGAGCATCTTTTCATGTGCTTGTTGGTCATTCTTGTATCTTCCTTGACAAATAGCTATTCAAATCCTTTGCCCCTTTTATAATTGGGTTATTTATCTTTTTACTGTTGAGTTTTAAGTCTGGGTCCTAGATCCTTATCAGACAGATGATGTGTAAATATTTTCTCATTCTAATAACTGTTTTTTTATTTTCTTGATGCTGTCCCTGACAGATGTTTTTATTTTGAAAAAGTCCAATTTATTTATTTTTTCTTTTGTTGCTGGCGCTTTTGGTGTCATATCTAAGAAATCATTGCCTAATCCAAAGTTATGAAGATTTATACCAATGTTTTCTTCTAAGAATATTATTGTTTTAGCTCTTACATTTAGGTCTTTAATCCATTTTGAGTTAATTTTTATATACGTTGTATGGTACAGGTCCAACTTCATTCTTTTGCACGTGGATAGCCAATTGTTCTAGCACCATTTGTCGAAAAGACTCTTCTTTCTCCATTGAATTGTCTTAGCACCCTTGTTGGAAACCAACTGACCATAAACAGTTTATATCTGGACTCTCAATTCTCTACCATTGATCTATACGTCCATGTTTATGCCAGCATGCCACATAATTGATCATTACAGCTTTGTAGTAAGTTTTGAAATCGGGAAGTGTGAGTCCTCCTACTCTGTTTTTCTTATTCCAGACTGTTTTGGCTATTCCAGAACCCTTTTCATTTGCACATGAATTTTGGGGTTGGTGTGTTAATTTCTACAAAAAAAGGAAGCTGGAATTGTGTAGAATCTTTAGACCAACTTGAAAAGCCTTGTGATGTCTTTGTCTGGTTTGCCATCTTAAGAATATTAATTCTTCTAACCTATGAACATGGGATGTATTTACATTTATTTAGTTCTTTTTATTATTTATTTTTTTCCATACAAAAATTTATACATACATTGTTATATGACTCTAATTGCTCTCCCCATATTGTGACAGCACACTCCTCCTTTCCACCCCTGATTCCCCATGTCCATTCAACCAGCTCCTAACACTCTCTGCCTTCCCATCTCACCTCTGGAAAGAAGCTGCCCATTTAGTCTCTTGTATCTACTTGAGCTACGAGGCAAACTCCTCACACATATCACTTTATGTCCCACAGTCCAGTCCAATCCCTGTCTGAAGAGTTGGCCTTGGAAACTGTCTTAGTTCTGGGCTGATAGAGAATCCAGGGGCCATGATTTCTGGGGTTCCTCCAGTCTCAGTCAGACCATTAAGTCTGGTCTTCTTACTAGAATTTGAGTTCTGCACCCCACCTTCCTCCTGCTCCATCTGGGACTCTCTGTTGCGTTCCCTGTCAGGTCAGTCATTGGTGGTAGCCAGGCACCATCTAGTTCTTCTGGTCTTAGGCTGATGAAGTCTCTGGTTTATGTGGCCCTTTCTATCTCCTGGGCTACTACTTTCTTTGTCTTTGGTGTTCTTCATTCTCCTTTACTCCAGGTGGTTGGGACCAATCGATGCATCTTAGATGGCTGCTTGCAAGCTTTTAAGACCCCAGATATCACTCACTGAAGTAGGATGCAGAACATTTTCTTATAAGCTTCGTTATGTGAATTGACCTAGATGACCCCTGAAAGCATGGTCCCCAGACTGCTAACCTGCTACTCTGTCCCTCAAAGTGTTTGATTGTATTCAGGAAACTTCTCAGCTTTGGTTTAGTCCAGTTGTGCTGACTTCCCCTGTAGTGTGTGCTGTCCTTCCCTTCACTTAAGATAATTCTTATCTACTATCTAGATAGTAAAT